AGAGGAAATAATGCGTTGCCAAAACTGATTCTTTATTATTATAGAAGTTCTAAGTGTTTTGAAGAATCTAAAGGTTTTTTGCTATTTTCTTTAAAAATATTTGAAAAGTTTAAAATGAATTTGTCCGCACTAGTGGAAGTTGCAAAGTTCGTATCACGTTTAAAAGTTTAAGACAACCAGGTCAAAGAAGACGAAAGATCGTGGCTACCTGCTTTTCACAAATTTACGTAAAACTGACGCATGAACTATTTTTGCAGGATACTAAGTAAGAATTTTCATTCTCTTCAGACACTCTCTTAAAAACATATCTCGTTTTTGTTTTAGCAGTTAAGATTAATATGAAGGGCTTATTTCGCAGTTTCTTCGCAAACGGCCACCTGAATTCGCCGAATTCTGCAAATGCATACCTTTAATACCTTTCTATGCTCCTTCACCAAATACACTATGTAAAGTAATTTCATTCAATAATCTGATATTTAAGATACCAGAAAAAATAGAGAAATAGAGGCTTTTGATAAATTTATTTTAACAGAATAAATACTTTATTGTAATACTTTTATACAAATTTACGTCGGAGCCTTCATTCCGAAACTAGAGCCGATCTGATATTTCCATAAAGGTGGTCATCTGAAATTACATCAATGCACTAGTTTCACCCATAAAGTCGGAGCGTATCTGTTTCATGCAATATAACGACATTTTTATGCGTTGCCAGTCCTAACGCCACCTCATAAACTCCGTTCACTAGCAAATTCAATTCAATACTAACTTTTATGATTTCACTCTGCATTTTACTTGCTACTGTTCATATTTTAATAAAGTTAAATTGCCTTCATGTTTGCATACTCATTCATCAATTAAGGTAATTTAAATGGGTATTGTTTTATGTCTTAAAAGCTGTCGACTCGAAATTAAAAAGCGTTATTTCAAACTATTTTCTGCATCTGTGCCAAATTTAATCGCGATCCGTTAAACCGTTGTTACCTTCTAAGAAACATCCATCCATACATTCAATGAGGCTTGAAACATTTTAGTAACCAATTGGTTTCAAAGACTGTTTTATTTTGTTATTTAGTTTCAAGCTATCCGTACAATAATCGAACACAATAAAGTCGCGTAGTTTGAACGTATTTTCTTTTTCTATCCCAAAGTTTGCAAAAAGGGGAAAAGTTTTTAATTCCATTTCCACGTTGAAATTTTATTGTATGGCTTACTTCACAAAGTTTACAGGTAACTCGGTCAAAGGAGATGAAAGGCCTTTCCTGCTTCAATACTTTCAAAATGTTGTTCACGTACGTTACTTTAACTGGAACAACTATTTTCTTAAACAATATATGGAATTAAGTCTTTAAATAAACATGTTAATTATCTCTAATTTCTCTCTTAACTCTTTCATTTACCAGAATGTAGGAAATAATTTATTAGATTATTTGCAGTTGTAGTCAAATTTTTCTTCAACTGTTGATTTTAGTTACTCCTCATTTTAAGAATATTAGTGGGAATTACTTCAAACGCCGCATTGCACCATCTCCGGGGGCATGTAAGTGTAATTAGTAAAGCGGTTTAGTTCTCGCGCCGCGGAAATCCGGCGTATTATCTAAATATTATTTCATAGATAGTAAATTTCTAATTATTTCTATTTTAAAACAAGAACAACCGATTACCAAGAGTACGCTTTGATTTTTTTTTATAGGAATATTATTTCCACTGAGCCAAAATTAATTACAGTATTGGTTAAATATTTCTTTCAACGTTTAAGAAAAAATCAACTCGTCTTTCCTTGGGTTTCTGAAACCAATTATCGTTTAAAACATATTGTTGTCTCTGGTTTGTCCAAGAGGCCTCATTTAGTCCTCTTTCCCTTCCCATCCTTTTTCTTTTAAGGAAAGGATCGGAAGTAGAAGTGGACTTTCCGGATGAGAGGATGCATGGAAAGGGAAGATATTTTCTTTCTGTGCATCCTCTCCTCCGTCGATTAAAGGTAGGCAACGCATATGCAATGGCATATGTCTATGGGAAACGGTCGCTTCGCTATTTCAGCGATTTCAGGTGGCCGCTCGCTCGTTTGTCACCTTATTATATAAAAAAAAGATAATAAAGACGACGATGTGTTTTATACAGAGATCTTGGTCTTTTAAAGCAATGATTAGTCATCTAGTAAATTAAATTGTTTAATAAAAATTAAATTAAATTAAACTTTAAGTTTAAACTTTCGACTTAACAGTTTTCTTAAATAATTAGTTAAATACCAGCCATTGTAACTATCATTGTTTGTTGCTTTGCTATTTATATGAAAATAGGAACGAACAAAGCGACTCTAATTTGTTGTAATCAGCTTCCGAGAATTTAATTAAAGGGATTCAATGATTGCTTCCACAAATTTACGTAACTACAGAGCACGTAATAGCATACTTATTCGACTTACATGCTTTTAGTGTCTCTTTCATTAAAAAAAAACTTCCTATATGTCTATTTCAATTTATTCAAAGCATCAATTTAGATATGGTTTCTGCGACAGTTGTAAAAATCTGTGTTTTTTTTTCACTGTGGATTCCGACTGCTATGATATTTATGGACATATAATAGTCACTATTTTTTTTAATTAAACACCTGTTTTAACCCTTTGGCCGCCTATGATTGATATAATAGACGTCAACGTGATTATAAAATAATATGTTTTACATATAAATATGTATCACCAAAACTGCTTTTGCTAGAAGTAGATACTTTGTTATTAATTTGTCAATATCGAATTTGAGAAGACTTAAAGAAGAATAATCTTCATTCATCATCATCACCTCAGTCTTCGTCCCACTTAGCGGCTCAGAGCTTACCCGAAGTCAGGAGTGACTGGGTTATTATTAACCGCGCTGGCTTAGTGGGGGTTTGTTGAATACACACATGTCTTTTAATTTCTTCGCAAATATGAAGAACTATGCATAATCATAAATAATCTATTGTGTCTTTGGCACACATAAATTGTACTGTAATATAGTATTAGAATTTCGATGTATGCATTTTTTTTTGTTTTGTGTCCGGGTTTAACGTGTTTTATTATGGTTAATCATAATTAATTATAATTTTGTGTTTATAATAAAGCTTAGTTCTCGCTTTTTATGGCTTTGCTGAAATGTTATACCGTTCTCACTAGCTAATAGCATTTTAATAGCAGCTCCAACCCCTTTAATGTGAAAATGCTACTTTAATGGTCTTTGATATGACGTCATTGCAGGTAGTCATTTACGCTTATTACGTAAAGTTACAAACTTTTTCAGACGTTAATGTTACTACAATTAGTTTTTGTTACAAATTTACCTATCATTTTATTGTAATGAGGTAGCGAGGGAAAACTTAACTGCTTACTGGCTAATTATTTTATAACTAGCTGTCGCCCGTGACTGCGTCCGCGAGGAATTAAAATAATATAATTAGTAGCCTATCTGTTATTCCAGACTATGTTCTATGTCTATGCCAAATTCCATAGAGATCTGTTCTGATCTGGAGATACCTTCAAACAAACATCCATCCATACAAACATTCGCATTTATAATATTAGTAAGATAACAGTTTTGTATAATATTAAAAAATATTAACTTTTTCTTTGAACTCTTTATATTTATAAGCAAACCAAAGCCTCGATCAAAAGTATTTACGTTCACCAAAAACATTTTCAATAAAGATTTAATAATAAAAATACCAATTCGAAATTAATTTGTAAGATCGTAACATCTCAATTTGGTGTTCCGTTTTATTTCCCCTGCATACATATGTATGAAAATTACCCGTAAATTTTGGGGTAAAAATAAATAAACAGGTGCGCACACCTTGCCGTTTTGATTCTTGAATTATTCATGACGTCTCACGCGAGCTCTACTGTGAGGCTGCAGTTGCGTTGGCTACGAACTTTTAAATCATCTCGCTTTATCATTGCGATATCAAATAACATACATACTTTGGAAGTAAAACTTATTTAATGTAGTTAGTAAACAAAATAATTTCACAAATAAGCGCGTAGTCTACTAATTCAATGGTCATTGTCTTGGAAACTTGTTTTAAATAATATTGATCTAATTATTATATAGGAAAGTCTATTTAGACAAATTTGTATGCTAGAATTTTGAAGGTTGTAGAAAAACATACTACAACAACATAACTCACACCCGTAACCACGAGGGGTGGACAGACATTACGGACTTTTTAAGGCGATATATTCATATCAATTTTATTTCTTATAAATTTTAATATCAGTTATACTAGAATAGTTGTTCTAGAATATAAATGCTCTCTAACCTACAGAAAACATAATGCTATTTAAAATAAAAGAAACCTCTTAGTTACCTTAATTAATGTGAAGATGTAAAAACTACTTAAGCCGTTCCACTTTCTTAGAACTAAATGAATTAAATGAAGGTAAACACATTGCTGTTTTTGCGTTCAAGTCAAATGAAATATAATATATCGAACATTAAAGTAAGTACTAAATAACACTAAACTAAATTATATTGGTTGGATTGGTTGTCATGGTGATTATTTATGTTTTGTCAGAAGAAAAATTAAAATATGCTTTTAACGACAAACAAATTGTTTAATTAGCAACAATATACGGCACAGTAGAGACACTATAGTAGATATTTATCTTTTTCAGTTATTTTCGTACCAAATTTGCACTTTTGTACGTTAAAAATTGTGACAGTTGACATACACACTTTACTTTTGACACAAACTAATCTTAATCCTAACGGTAACCGTCAAAAATTTAGTAGTTATAGCTACAGTTAAATATGACGTCAATTTGTCGATTTAATTGATGTCAAGGCGCTTGTTATAGGTATAGTTAGTTGATGCAACTCACCCTAAATCAAGTGAATGTAATTATAACGTTCTTTTTAATTAAAATATAATACTGTCAACTTTATTGTATTGGAGTTTATTAAAAAGTAAAAGCATATATAAACTTTTTTAATATATTTTGACAACTTATTAGTTTGTCAGGTAACGTTATTTACATAACAACAAAAATGGCAACAGTACACGAGTTTTTACCTATTGAATTCGACTATTATGGAGAGTTAAGTATTCGTTCGAGACTTGCTGAGGCCAGACGGTACAGCCGCTTCCATGCGGTAGTCCTCCTTCAGCGAATAGTCCGAGGACATTTAATAAGAAAACATTTTGCATGGCTATCGAAAAATGCCCTTACAATACAATGCGCCTTTCGAATGCATCTCGCTCGTAAAGCGTATAGAAGAGCTTTGATACAAGCGGTACGGAACAAACATAACAAAAGATATAATCAAGCTGCAACAAAGATACAGGTATCCATGTACATTATTAATAGTATATTATTATACATAGTAGGTTATTATCAACATTCAAAGCAGCTTTTTATTTCATAATAATGTCCTGAATTTGGTGTCTACATTTTTGTATGATTGGATATGAAATGTTCTTAATTACAGGCGTTATGGCGGGGTCATTATTCAAGAAACAAGAAATTCTGTTACTATTCTTACCGACGATGGTTACGTGAAGTGACCGAACGCGGTAAGAGACGAGCAGCCGAAGCTGTTGAATTCGGCATCAGAACAAAGGTCGATGACCTCAAAGCGTTGGAAGAAGAAGCAAGAAAATGGCTCGCTTTCGTCGTCTTCAAGTTACATCACCTACTCAGGACGTACGTCCGGGCCGGTATATATTCGAAAACTGGAACAAGCGAGCTGTCAGAGTTTGAAAACCTTTTAAATTCAATACGTTACACGGAATATATGAAACGTTTGAAAAAGAAATATGACGAGTTCGTGCGAAAATATCGTCCGCGTTTTTCCAACAAACGATTGTTTCCAATAATAGGAAATGGAGAAGATTATTGGTACCTGTCTCTACCTGAAATGTACGAACTGACTGCACAGCCTCCAGAAGTTGAAGATACGCGTCATATTAATGAATATCACGGTCCTATCCATAAAAAACCGTTTTTATGGAGGAAAGTGACACGGTCTAAGCTTTCAGAAGGTCGAGGACCATTTATTGCGACAAGAATACCTTCAAAAGAATCTTTAAAAATTGAACCACGTGATCCACGTTTCGATCTTTACGTCCAACATTACAAGCCACAACCGAATATTTTCGATTATGTCGATTATCATATAAATATCGTATTAATGAAAAAACACAAGATTCAAAAAATGTAAATTAAGGTTACTTAAATACAAAATATAAATCCTTGACATCTAGATGTTAGGAAGGATTGCAGATGTTACGTATGATTCTGTTAATACTAATAGGTTATTTTAATAGCTATGTTTGGTGCAATGTAATTATCAAAATGCTACGTATTTCAATTATTTTCTTGGCTCATAGTTTCTATAGTCAAAATAACATAACGACTTCCTACAGGCCGCATTTCTACCTTATCATGGAATTTAACAACCTCTTAATCTCCACGAACATTCAAATTTATGCTTGATACTTACCAAACTATTTCGGTACAATATTGTAACTTTAATATTGATACAGCAAAATAAAACACAATTTTATTAATGACTGAAATAGCTTGTACCAAAACACTTGGTTAAAAACATGTTTTTTATTATACTTTTTATTTTTCTTGTTCGGAAATCCGTAATCAGGCTGCTAAGTTTGGAAGGGTCGTCCGGATGTTGCGGCCCGCGAGCCTTTTGTTGTTTCGCTTTTGTTGTTGTGAATTTTACACTTGTAATTTATTTCAGGAAACGCCTTGGTGAGAAAAAAAAATTACATTAAACTCTCGAAAGTAAAATGTGTTTTGCAAATTAACATTTCATTCAAGATGACGTAAGTGTTTTATTTGCGAAAGGTAAATGTGATTCTATTCAAAACATTATAACAAGTAAATTGTACAGAACAATTTAATAACGTTCTTTCATTCTCATTGAAGTCTACAGGGATATTAAAACAATGATATTTAACACTCCGTATAACTAGCAAGATTCAAATGTAACAAAGGTTGAGCCCAACTGTAGGATTTACTCTCAAGTGTAACAAAATAGTAGACAGCCTTAAAATTCTAGTGATTGTTTAACGCTATATAGAGAATTTTCTTACACAAAATTTTAAACTATTTGGATAAAAAATATAAAAGTCTGCTCTATTATAAACTACGTCCTTAATCTTGGTGCCATATGCTTTTGATATTTTGGAAGCTACATTTAACACTACCGTCTCACGCACTGTTACGTTTATGTAATACTAGCGCGCAATTCAAAAAAACTTAATAAGTAGCCTATGTGTTCTTCTAGACTATGTTCTATATGTGTGCCAAATATCATTAAAATTCGTTGAGCCGTTACAGGTTTCAAAAAATATCCATCCATCCATTCATCCATCTAAATAATCCGGAATATTGAATAGTTAAATAAACAGTTCATTTTAATAGATATCAGAAGATTTAAGAAATTTGTTTTCGTTTGAAAAGAAATGTGGAAAGGTTGTGATTAAGAAATAATGAATTTAAAATAAACTATTCTATTAGGATGGCTTAATTGGTTTTGAGCATACATTTCTCGTATTATATTATATAATGTTGAGCCTAATTATCTTTAAACAAATTAGTATTGCCACACGTCTCAAAACTCATTTGTCTCACAACACCCGTTTGACTCGACAAATTTATTAGGGTCAGAATAATTCAGGTTGTGGGTTTCTGTACCGAGTCCTCAGACCCGTCTTAAGGGGCAACCATTTGTTAAACGTATAATAGTTGACCCACTTCTGCCGCGGCGTCTTTACAAAGGGGTGTGATTTGCAAATCCATTGATAATTATTAGATTCCTAATATGTTTTCGTCTTTATTGAATATTGGTTTGAATTTGTGATAATTACATTGCAAATTGTATGAAAGTATTACACTTTAATTTAGTAAGAACTAGACAGTCATAATATTTAACCTTATTAAATGAGACGTTTTTTTTAAATAGCTAATAAAATAACGTTTTAGGTTAGATATTTTTTTGGTAATCTTTCCAAGAGAAAATACCTACTTGAATTTAACGATGAAATTATAAAAAAAATATTATCGTTGTACTTTACTTTTGTAAGTAAATAGTCTGCTTAATAAGACCATAACTTAACTTACCTTGTCAAAACTTTACCAAGTAAGTTAGTAAATTCAGCTTAATTTATTAAAACTTAAGTAAAGTAACAAATAAGAAAGCAACACTGCTTTGTTATTTTTGTTCACGTGAAATATTTAAATGTAAAAAATTATCTTACAACAGTTTCTTAACGTATTATGTTACTTAATACTTGGAAAATATTCTAAGACATCACCAAGGTCTTTCTAAATTAGCCTAACATGCAGCTTTCAGGTCGTGAATAATTATTTAAACTAACTAACAAGTCCAATGTTTATGTTAGTCAAAGAATTTACACTGTTGTAAAACATAGTTTCTCGTGTAGCCTTATTACCAACTAGATATCGCTAGCGGCTTCGTCAGCGCGGAATTAAAAAACAACAAAAACTTAATAAATAGCTCACGTCATTCAGACCATGTTCTACATCTATGCCGAATTTTAGCAAGATCCGTTGAGCTGTTTCGGAGATATCTTGTATTAAACATTCATCCAGTAAGATAATACGATATACTATGCAACAAAAATTTTATTAGTTTTTATTTATTTATCTTTTTGAAATTAATAATTTTCTCCAAGTCTAAGTAGGCCGATGTAGCATTCTGGGCTCATTTTTTGCAAATTCGTGCGTCAACTGAAACTGTCAGACTCGCTCGGAGTGTGTTTGGCACATGAATAATGTATGGGGTAAATTTGCAAGTGTTTCAATTTACACCCGCCGACACTCGGCGCCGCGGATACGCACCGGAGTGCCGAGTGAAGTGCAAAAAGAAAACAACGAGAGGGGCTGGAGAGGCAGACGGGGGCACCGCCGCATTAGCACCTAGTTACTTTTTCTTCTTAAAAACTTCAAACTTTTCACGTATACGAACTACCTGTTTGTTGGGTTAGCAGTATTGTGCGATAGACGAACGGTAGAACATTAGATGAATTTTAAGTTACAGGAAGTATTCCGTTGTAACACTCGATAGTGTTTTTAAACTATATTTTATTATTTTTGCAGCAATTATATGGTGTGTCGGTGGCCTAGGGTTTACGGGCTTGACTTACAATCTGCAGGTCTTAGGTTCGAATCATATCGTGTACCAATGTTTTTTTCGATTTCCGATTTACATATGTATATTTAGCAGATGTTCCGACGGTGAAGAAAAACATCGTATTGCAACCTGCACATATGTATCTGAGAAAAAAGTCAAAGATGTTTGAAGTCAACCAAATCGCACTGGACCAGCGTGGTTGTCTATGGCCTAGCTACCCCTAACTTAGGACTCCTAGCCCCTCAGTGGGGACGTACAGTGAGCTGATGATGATATGGCGTTCCGCCAAGATTGTGGTTGCCATATCGTGTCTACCTATGCGAAGCCGGGATTGACCATGTGTATTTAATGTCATTACTATTTAATAATGTTGCTATTATAGTATAAAGCTAAGGTAGAATATATAATGTAGTGTAGGATGGGATCTGGAGCCAAAAGCAGTGTTAGCACCTCAGGGAACGCTGGCCGCTTTCAATAGCCCTCGTATGTACACAGGCGAAAACAGCTTACGCTACATTAATTTCGCTCACCTTACTAATTACTGTTATAACTGTTTGTTCGTTATGTAAACGATTTGCTTACTATGCATACATTTGAAATGTAGTCAGTATCCTTAAAATATAGAAAAGTATCATTTGTTTTTTTAATGTTAGAATTTGCGGATTTGTTTTGTTATAAGATACTAATATTATTACTATTACTCGAAAACTCATTACTTAAAATCATTTGTAATAATGATTAAATGAATTTATCTAAAATAATATTATGTATTGTTATAAAATATTATACGTATCTTCAGGCTCAACAAATTTATATATATTATATACGGAAATTGGCAGAATGCCAAAACGTGAATAAATTAGTCGAGTATGGCAACCCCAGTGTAATAGGATTAAACTAAAGATAACATTATTCTTACAAGTCTTAAGTTTATACTTATATTAATATTAAGTACATTAAGACCTAATTTATAATATCTTATTTATATGTGTTATTGCTTATCTGTACTAATAATATAAAGAGGCAAGATTTGTCTGTGTGCCTTGAATAGGCTACCAAACTACTAAATTGATTTGAAATTTTTTTCACTGTTGAGTAACTACACTATCCCCGGAGACATAAGCTATGTTTATTACTAAATATTTTTTCAATTCAATTATTGGGTAAGAAATATATTGTAACATCACATAAAATTAATTTCGAAGTAGGATTGTTTTCTATCGATCAATACATACAGCGTATGGTGTGCTAAATCCCCACATTTTAAAACTGGATTTGAATTACCTCCTCGCATTTAAATACGATAGTCCTATTATGGATCCGAAGATACGCTGGATTATTTTCCTTCCTTAATCGATTAAGAATCGTTAAAACTTTTAAGTGACTGTAAATAAATCAAGCAAGACAATACCAACACTTCCTGGTAGATTAGAAAAATGGCAAGGGGAAAGAAAGGTTCCATCCCTCAACCGCATTCTTGTAATGCCTGTGCGAGAGCCCGACTAATTCTCGGTAGAATTTGCCAATCGATAGCGGCGAGTAAGCGACTCCGTGATCTGTATGAAAAATACGGAAGGAACTGTGGTACGCAGTAATTAGTGAGCGGGTACGCTCGGGCGCGTAGGGCGCACAATGTATGACAAGGAATCTCTAATTATGGTGACACCAAACGTATATTAAATATGCGACATTACCCACAAGCGTTACCATGATTAGATTAGTTTTAATAGGTTACTTTGACCCCCTATTTTCGGTTAATTTAAAAACGATAGTTATAAAACACACTGTAGACTTTATCGATTTTTTACGCACTAAGGATCTTATAAGTTTATCAAGCTTGGTAAGGGTTTGTAGTGATATTTTTTCTTACCTGCAAGTCGAACATAGGATTTTAATATAACTTTTAACGTGAGGTTACAGGATTGCTAGAATTTCTATTAAATGGTATTTAGTTTTGTTAGCTAAAAAGAGTCCCGCAGGAATGTTTACCCACTGAAATAGGAGCTATTTCAAACATTCTAACTTAATTTAAAATTGATGCAACGCGGTTTTTAACGTGCAACTATAATAGAGTTAACATTTGAAAATCAAATGTACAAACTTGTTTTAATTGAAATCTGTAACCCTGTAACTGCATACGAAATGACGATTTTGATGAACACTTCGCCTTTCGAATGGTGCTATTTTACTGTATAAAAGGGGTTTTCAATTTAGTCAAATTTTAGTGCGGTTGAAAATGTTTTATCGGATGCTTTTGAGTATGGGCGAATGCGCCTATACCGCTAGCTCCGCTCATCGCTAACAGAAACGCTCGTGTAACCGCTATCGCTTATGAGTCGGTCATTCGTTGTATATTACGCTGTCGAATTTAACGGTCACTTCGTTGAATATTCGCTTTACGAATTTGATGAAAGGGCCGAAAGCTTTTTAACTAGCCTGAATGGTTGAGATAAGAATTCACAATTCAAACACCTTGATCCCTGAATGTAATGGTTAATTTCCTATATATTTCAAAGATATATGTAGTAAAAATATTTATAAGGCTACAAAAACGTGGCTTCATCATCACCGTGGCCGACGGCACCGCCGATGTATATGTATTTCAAGTTTTAACAATACGTTCAAAAAGCCTAAGAACAAAAAAATTCTAAAACTTTAAACATAAAATAAGCTAGTTATTTACAATAATACAATATACTCTAGTGTCCTAAAAAGAAAAAAATAATTAAAAGCTTACAAGCTCAAACTACTTTGAGACTTTTTTTTATAACAGAAAGGGGCAAACGAGCAGCGGGAACACCGAGGTGTTCAACTTAAAAGTTTACACGAAAATCAAGAATGGAATATAGAATATTTTCTTAAGT